ATTTATTTATATAATTATTTTAAGGGTTTATTATTTTACTTATTATTTAATATTAATATAAGCCTTTAAAATATATAAGTTTTAGTGTAAAAGTAGGCATTTTTTGGAATTACCTACAACCCACTGTACCTGTTGCGTCATATGAAGACGGAAATAGTTTCTCTTCAACTCGTCGCACAACGAGACGCGGATGGTAGTCTGGGGCAGTTTGTTGCACGGTGTGCATGCTAACTTGTTGGTTGAACGGAGCGGGCATAAACGGCACAGATAGAGCGCACAAGGATCCAGTTGCGCTTGACCATCAATGTTCAAGCATTGAATACAATTTATCGGCAACTTAGCGCCGAAACTCCATGTCAGTTGTTACCGGACATGTATGAACTAAAGCCTTGGCTTGGGTGCCCTGATTAGAAGACACGCCGCGCCGAGTCATGCTTGCACTCCCTTGGCATAACTGGCTGCTCATTGGGCCATGGCCATGGACCAATCTCTTGACCTCATTCCGCGTCGGCAGCACGCCAACCAGATTGACATTTCTCCTTCTTCGTCATGTGGCTGGAGGGCCGCTCCCGTGATGCCTGGACGCTGCCCTCCTGACTGCCACGCCGTCATCTCCCGCAGACTCGCCATGAAACGTCATTACTCGTCACGGCGCGCATGTCCCCTTTCGGCCGATCGCATCCCGTCCACAAGGTGGTATCGAGACACCACGTGTAGAACCTGTGATGCTGGTCGCATTGACGACGTGATTTGTAAACGCAAACTCAAAGCAAGATTAATTTATTAAACAATGCAATTGATGCGGCGCATCCAGGCCCCATGTTGCATCAGGAACGTCTGGTGGCTTGGACACGATGAATGATTGCAATGTCTTGGAGTAGCACCCTGGGAAATTGGGATGCCACCAGGCGACGCAGCATGTCGGGCCCGTGGTTCACTTAAAAGGAGCCCTTGGAATCCGCGAATCAATGTTTCTCTCAATCGACCAAGCAGGGCTTTCACGGGTCGCGCGTATCAATCATGGTCTTCAAAATGCCGTCGCCGTCGGCGTGTGCCGTTGCCGCACTTCTCGCCAGTCCAGCACTCGGAAATCCAGCAAGGTCGCTGCTCAAAAGAGGCGCAATGGAAGCCGACACCTCCAAGGCCTCTCAAGTACAAGATGTCTTTCGCACGGCGTGGAACGGCTATTATGAACACGCGTTTCCTCACGATACTCTTTTGCCGCTTACCGGCGGCAACTATGACGACAGGTGAGAATCTGCAAACAGTCAATGTATGCATCTCTGCAACAGTACCTAACAAAATGCAGAAACGCATGGGGTGTGACGCCAATCGACTCGTTGAGCACGGCCATCATCATGGAGGAGTCCGATATTGTGAACCAGATTCTCAAGTACGCGGCCACGATTGACTTTACCACCACCAAGGAAGTCAACTCGTCCATCTCCCTGTTTGAAACCAACATTCGATACCTCGGCGGACTACTCGCCGGTAAGCACGACTTCATCACCGACATAAGCATTCAATATTATTTGCGCTAACCACCCCCAAGGCTACGACTTGTTAACGGGCCCCATGAAGAGCCTCGTCGACGACACCAACAAGGCCCACGTCGACGCCCTGCTCAAACAGGCCACCACGCTCGCTGACAGTCTCAGCATCGCCTTTGACACGCCGAGCGGCGTCCCCGACGACGCCGTCTTCCTCAATCCCACCCGCCGCATCGGCGGCTCAGCCTCCAACGGTCCAGCCGGCTTCGGCACCCTGGTCCTCGAATGGACACGCCTCAGCGACCTCACGGGCAACAAGACGTATGCGCAGCTCGCCCAGAAAGCCCAAGAGTACCTCGTCAAGCCAAAGGGCAAGCCCGAGCCGTTCCCCGGCCTGATCGGGTACACCGTCTCCATCGCCGACGGCACGTTCCAAGACCAGAGCGGCGGCTGGGGCGGCGGCACCGACAGCTTCTACGAGTACCTCATCAAGATGTACCTCTACGACCCGAAAGAGTTCTCCTTCTACAAGGACCGCTGGGTGGCGGCCGCCGACTCGACCATCGAGCACCTCGCCTCGCACCCCACGACCCGAAGCGACCTGACCTTCCTGGCGGGATACAACGGCCAGACCATCAACCACTGGTCCGGACACTGTAAGTTGAAACCATCCCCGTATCAACGCGTTCAATGTTTGCTAAACGGGCCCAGTGGCCTCCTTCGCCGGCGGCAACTTCATCCTCGCGGGCGTCGTGCTCAACGAGCCCAAGTACACCGACTTTGGGCTCGCCCTCGCAACCTCCTACTACGAGACGTACAAGCAGACGCCGGCGCGCATCGGGCCCGAGGGCTTCCAGTGGGTAGCCGCCGACGGGGGCAGCCCGCCCAACGCCGACCAGGCCGACTTTTACCAAAAGGCCGGCTTCTGGTCCTTCTCGGGGGGGTACATCCTGCGTCCCGAGACCATTGAGAGCCTGTACTACGCGTACCGCGTCACCGGGGACAACAAGTACCGCGACATGGTGTGGGAGGCGTTCACTGCCGTGCGCGACTTGTGCAGGGCCAAGTATGGCTTCGCGGGCATCAGGGACGTGATGAAGAAGGATGGCGGGGGGCAGGATAATTTCCAGCAGAGCTTCTTTTTGGCCGAGACGCTCAAGTATGCGTATCTCACGTTTGCGGGGGACTCGGAGGTGCAGTTTCACGGCAAGGGGGGGAACGAGTTTGTGTTTAATACCGAGGCTCATCCGTTTAGGGTGCGTCGCTGACGGACGAGGTGGATGGGTTGTTTTACGGTTATATAATGTATCTGGTAGAGGTATCGGAAGTGGTTCGTTTAGAAGTACATGATAGATCTAATATAAAGCCATAGTTTTAGTTTTTAAACCCAAGGCAAAAAAGGTTGTGTCATGGTCCGTTGCGCTCTTATCGGTGCATTTGACTGGTGCGACTTGCATGTCGCGTCGCAATTCGCAATGACAGCAATGCGAATGCGTCAATGAACCGTCGACATTTGAAGGTGGCGGGGTGGCGGTTTGAGTGCGCGCATACTTGTCACAAACTTGTATTTAAGCGTCAGTTGTCTCATGTTTGTCTTTATCGAATCGCATTAGCAGGCATGAGAACGGGGAGCCCAACATTCTTCATTCGCCACGGTCCGCGATGATTCCTTGACATCATATACTTGAAACGACTCGCAGATATTAAACGCCTCGAACCGTTCCAACTATCCATAGCTAACTACGCATGCTTTCACAAGTTTGTAAAGTAAGCCGTAGCGAGGGTAATAGTAATCACATTTGAAGCACGGTAGCCCGTCATTTGCATCACACCACAGAGCGCACTACCAACTGAAAACGCAGAGTTGATTGCGAGTGAGTGGCAGACCAAGCAACAGCATGCTACCGCCCTGCTACACTGCCAGCGCACCCAACTTGTCCTTCAGCTCTTGTATCCCATCATCGTTTCCGAAAAGCAGTGCATAAAACGCCCTGGCATCCATCCTCACAATCTGCGTGAATATGCCTTCTATCCGCTCTACTTCGCCCGCCTCTGCACCCGGCGCGGCCGTCTCCCCCATCAGATCCTTCATCATCACCGCCGTCCCGCACACATGCTGCGTAGTCCAATTGCCGTAATCGTGTCGCAAGACGATGCGCTTCATCGGCGCTCCTTGAACGCGGCATATGAAATCTGCGAGCCGCGCAGTCGGCGGGACAATTGCGATTTTATACGGCAGCGTCTCTGAACTAGATTCCTTGACGATTGCCAAACACGGCTCGTTGGAAATCGTGGACGCGTAATTCCAGGATCCTTCAAACTCGGGCGAGATGCGGTCGTCCTCGTCGCTCCCGTCGGGATCGTACTTTGAATACGGATACAGAGAATGCATGTGATCTGTCGTGATGAAGTCTATTCGGTGATTTTCAAAACACGTCAAATCGGGAAGCTTCGAGTCTGTGCCGTCCAGGATATGCTGCATCAGCACGTCGTGCTCTTGGTGCGCCGCATCGAGGACATCTTCATACGCGTTGCGGTAGACGCGCTGCAGCTCCGCCTCCCACTTGTCCGTGAGGTCAAGCGACGCGCGCAACTCAGAAATCGCAGGCCCCACGGATATGATCCTGCCCAGGCACGTCGTCGCAAGTTCGACAGAAGATGCCGCCCACTCGTCTCTTCCTTCGGCGCGCAGATGATCATGGAAGGACTGGCTGCCCGGCTTGTGCTGGAACTGAACAACGCCGCCGAGACTCGGCATCTTGTCCCCGCCCAGCAAGTTCCTGAGCAGCGTGCAAAAGGCTGCTTTTTCGTCATTCCTCTCTGGGAGGAGATTCTTGCGACCCATGAAGTGGACTGTGTCTGCCCAAACGTCTAGAACGGATTTGCTGTAGTCGATGGGAAAGTCACGGCCGTCGACTGACAGGCCGACGAGGCCGTAAATCTTATCCCTGGGGTCCTTGCACAAGGCGTCGAGGTGGTTTTCCAAAAGTTTCTTCAGAGAGCAGCTGCCGCTGTACTTGTTCCGCCGCATGGCCTGCAAGGCAAGCGGACCAATGTTGCGTTCCTTGCTCTCGGCATGCTTCTCGACATGCCGCACAAAGCAATCCCAATCCAGCGGGCCAGCACTACCGAAACAGACCTGAATCTTGCGAGCTTTTCCAATCTCCTGAAGAATCCACACCCGCTGCCAGTATTCGTCGCCGCTCACGTCTTGTATCGCTTGCTGGAGATGGCTCTCGATGTCAACATCTACAGTGGTGTACTGCGTACCCAGCCAAACAAGCACAGATGCAGCGCGAGAGTAAATATGCGGCATGATTCGCAGCTGGCGACTCTTCTCGGGAACATCTTTCTGGTTGATGGACACGGCATCAATCCAGAGAGGGCAGCCGCGCGGGTGGGCGTGAAGATATTGCAGAGCCGCGTGCAGGTTTTCTGTAACTGTCACGCTGATGCCGTCGACGATGATGGTCTTCTGGACAGACTCGTCGCCCCATCGGTAGGACAGGGCTTCGTACTTTTGTGGCGGAGAGAATGCGGCGACCTGAAGACTGCACACGAGGTATCCTTGGTTGCTCAGCTCGCGCTCAATTGTGAGGAGCCGGATGGTGTCGGTTGAGGTGCTCAGGGGTCGACTAGCATAAGGCTCTGAGGGAACAACAGGAAGTTGTCCTGTGGCATTCGCCGAGGCCGTTGACGGCATTGTGAGTGAGTGTCGAGGTTCCAAGTTGCGTGTCTCGTGTGTTTGGCAAGCCGACCGAACTTGCTACTTGTTGCGCCAGGAACATCAGTGACTTAATAGTCACGAACATAATATGCCCTGGCGTCAAAACATAACGCCTCAGATGCCTGTCGTGTGCATGAACATGGGTGCTCTGTGGATCATCACGCCGCTGAGAATGCTGAACAGCGGCGAGAGCTGAAAGTTTGCGGCATGATGAAGTACTGCATCTGGTCAAGGAGTGAGTAGACCATTCACGGCTACAGTACGCGACGCGTGGTAACTCGACACCTCGATGGCGGTAAATGCATCGCCCACAAAAGACGTCCGGGGCGTGTGGTGACCTCGGAAGTATAAGCTGACATCTGGACTGTTGAAAAGTCAAGACCGGGCGAGCATCAACGGAAAACAAGGCAAGGCAGGTTGATCTTTTACAGAAACTGGGAGCTTACTCAACGCTCCATCAAATCCGAGCTCGTCTCGTCATTGGCCATGTTCCAATAAAAAAAGCAGCCACAATATGCAACCTCCACCTCGTCTCCACATTGGATTTGAACGGGCCTAAGCTCATGCCCCGTCGAAAAAGAGCTGCGTCGCTCGTCAATCCAGCGCTGGCTGGGTGAGATGCGTGTAAGTCGGTGCGGGACCCGGGTTGAGCAGCATCCATCGGGCCATGAATATAAAATGGGAAACCTCATTCCTTCACATCTGACACGACATTGAGAAGAGAACTATACACTGCCTTAAATAAAAAGAATATTTCTAAACCTGCAATTTACCAATACTGTCTAATTGTTCAGACTCCAGAGGCACATTCGGCCTACACCCTCCACACATCAATATCAGCTCAGACATCTACACGCACAAGAGCCATTGTCCATCATGTCGACACCACCCGTATTCGCCTCGGAAATCCGGCAGGTATGGGATTTCAGTCCCATGATTGATCTTCAGTCTAATCTCAGATAGATGATGTACGTTGCGGGCGAGACTGAGAGCGCATCCACAGAAGCCGTGTCCCTGATTGAGAGCATCATCAGAAATCAAGTGATTCACCTGGTACTATACCCGCCATGGCACCTAGATCAGCTTGAACAGAAACTGCAGCTAAGCCATTCGCCTAGATAACCACAGCTGACGAGTATGCTTCCCGGCGTGGCAGTCGGGTCTTCTCCAACAACGACCTCATCTTCCAATTTCGACACGACACTGCGCGAGTCGAAAGAGTACAAAAGTTTCTCGCGTTAAAGGCCCTGCGAAGATCATCAAAGGCCGATGACGAAGACGTGGAAAAGGTGGACGTCGAAGACGCCGACACGATGCAAGGCGGTTTGGGCGATGCATTGGAGACGAGCAGAGCTGTTGCCGCCTCAGCCAGGCTTCCTTGGGACATCAACACTCTGTACGGTGAGCTCCCACCAGGTCCAGCGGATTCGGCCGCATACGAGGAGCAAGATGCGACGAATCTAGAAAAGTTGCGGGCTGCCGATGCCAAGACACTCAACATGACTGTCGCCGAGTATGCAACATGGTCAGAATACCGCCACGCTTCCTTTACCAGGCGTCGTGTGGTGAAATTCCGGCAATGGTGCGGACTGGGTGTCGTGGCGGACCACAAGGCCAGCGACGACGTGTTGGATATTCTGGGCTTCTTGACAAGCGAGATGGTGCACCGACTGACCGTCATGGCCCTGGGCCTGCAGGAACGTGAGAATCGTCGGAGGCTCGTCCTATACGGGGAGCAGAATACCGAAATCGGAGGCTTCGCATCGCTGATGGGATTGAATCAGGACCAACAGGCGAGATTGCCAGTAGAGTGCCGTCATATTCGACATGCATATGATATGACGCAAAGTGCGAGTACAGCTCACGGCGCCAGGCGGAAGGGGATACGGTCCACGAAGATGTTGTGCCTTATATGAGCAGTAACTTGTCCCTAAATAGATTGTTCAGTCAATTTTCACCAGGTAAAATCCTTAATCCCACGCAAGCCGACAGGCGCCGAAGATAGCGCTGTTCTACAAAGGCTGCCTACTCCTCCTTTTCTCGATTCCCGTCCATCATGTAGTCATCAACAGTATAGCCAGCCACAACCTCTGACTCGGTCCTCGTCTGAATGTCCTCAATCGCAGGCTGTGCGGACAGCCAGGCCGCAACCAGCATGCTCTTCAACGTCCAGCTGGACTTGAACCTGCTGGGCGTGTACCACTCGACTCCGTTGCGGCTCAACTCGCCGTGGTATGGGAAATTGGCCAGAAGATGAAGCCTCAATAATGACGGGTACCTATACAGGTCAAACAAGGCAGCTCTTTCGGCGGACATGTACCACCGCAGACTGCCGATGGTGAAGCCGAGGGATGAGCCGAGCACGAACGGAAGGGCAGCTGTGCCCCAGAGAGCGCTGGCGACGAGGGTGGCGCTGATGCCGACGACCACGGCTGTGTATGTACCCGCCAAGAGGCTGCGAAACATTCTGCCGTCAGTCAGTAGAGTTCAAGGTAGTTGGCCTGGCTCCATGCCGCGAGCAATTTTCAACGGCATCGCAACGTGGTGCATACACTAATCCGGGACCGCTGAAAGCTGTTAGAAGGCACTCCGTGCAATTCAACGTCGGAAATAACGGACCTGACATTTCCCCAGCCACCAATGATCTTGAGTAGGCTGAATGGGTGTTGGGAATTCGAGGCGAAGTCGGCGACCTGGGGGGACATTAGCAACGCGTTGACGCCTCGCGAACTGGCCGACAGCTCACACTCATTTCCTGCATTCTGGCTAGGGTGGTCCTGCGCCCAGGAACAGCTTGGGAAAGAGAAAAAAAGAGTCAATTCTTCGGAACAGGCGATGAGTTGCTGTTTCAGAGCCGTGAGTATTCCACCTGATTCAGGCCCGATGCACGGCAGACGTGATGCAGGAGGCACGTTTGGGATATGGCTGCGGCGCACTGAGCGCGTGGGAATACCGGCAGAGCCCAGGCCTACGAGACTGGCACTAGCATCCCGCCAGCTGCCACACAAACTGACCAGACACAACTTGATTCCATTAACTGACCGTGCCCCCAAAGTAGTCTCATCCCCCCTCAATCCTCTCGGCTCAACATTTTCCCGTAAGAATAAATCTTTGCGTGACCGTCTTATTTCCTTGAGCCCACCACGCGTTTACAACGAAGTGGGTAAACTCCTTGGTTCAAAGACAAAAATGGAGCAGATTCAAATACCTGCTCGCGATGTTGTGTCAAGTCTTTGTGATATGAACGGACCCGAAACCCGCGGCTTTGCATACAACGATCAGATTTGGATCAAATACGGCAAGTCAGTGATGTTGGCGGAAGCTGCGATGCAAAAATATGTACACGAAAATGCTGATCCTAGCGTCGTCCATATTCCCAAAGTTTTCGACGCTTTCAGCACCCCATCAGGGCCGAACGAAACACCCATGACATATATCGTCATGGAGAATGTGAAGGGCAGTGATTTCGTTGACTTCAAAAAGGAGCACCCGCAAGAAGCCGAGGAAGCAATGGAGGCCATCGCGACCGCCGTCCGTCACATTTGGGATCTCCCACTACCACCGGGCGTACCACTAGGACCTTTCTACCATGAGATGCCTGTTGATAGATTCTTTGCGGATTTTGGGGCAGGCCGCAGTTTTAACGATTTGACAGAGTTGGAGGATTGGATCAACAATAAGCTGGACAAGGGAGAGTTCCAAGATCGGGTGGCATTGCAGGGGGAGCGGCTTTACATATGCCATTGCGATCTTACTCAGTTCAACATCAGAGTGGGCGAGCGAATCGCCATTCTAGACTGGGGGTTCTCGGGTGTCTATCCACTGATCTTTGAAGAATTCGCTCTGTTTCACCAATTCTGCCTTCCTGGCTCTAAATTTGCGAGAGCTCTACGCAAGGAGCTCTTTGGGCCAAAACTCTCCAAGCATATGCGTGCGATTTCACGCGCAGCAAATTATCACATGTTTGGGATCTGCGCGAGGAAGAGATGATACTGTATTTGAAGCCGTATCATGCCGTGGGACTGGTGATTTGACTTCAAGCTCCAGGGTTATTCGGTGATGTTATTAGTTGGATCGACACATAGGATCTGGAAATGCTCATGCCGCTATTGACAAAAACCGTTTCAGGCAGCACTGATATTTTCTCATATTCTATTTACTGAACTCAGTAATGGGGCCTGAGAAGCAGACTGGACGTGAAATTGCAAGACATTGCGGTTTAGAGCTATGCGCCGAGTATGGTCAGGAGTTAGACGCAGCTGTTTGTTTGCTAGATCAGACCTCTACAGTATGTACTTGGCGTTGTTGCTGCCTATCTCGTCCGCGGTATCGAATGGTCTCCGATAACAAGCACCTTGACGCCCGGCCACCTTCATCAACCAGGGAGGCATGAGACAACGGAAATATCTAGCCTGCCGAATAACGTTGGTTGGTTGTGAAAGGCTCTGGTTGGCCGCTTCTAGGAGATGAACCAACCGAGAGAACAGCTCTGAAACAGTCAGGAAGGGGAAGAAGTCTGAGTGATTAGGACCAACATTGAAGGGTTGACCACCGTGGCATCAATGCGACTAGACCCCATGTGCACCCTGCACACCCCTTATGCCCCCTGAAGGGCGAGAGTGGCTCGCTAATGTTGGACGTCGTGGCCTATCAGGCTGCATTTGACCACAATAACGGCAAGAAGAAGTTCCCATGGCAGAGAAGTTCGAGTCACTAAACACGAGTTGTCTGCATACATGACGAGGAAGCGATACTTGGCCTTGCCTGGCCTTGGTAGGCCGCTTTTCCCATGAGGAAATACTTACAGCTGCTTGCCTTGGGCGCTTAAACACCACATCGAGAAATCAAGAGGGGAAGTTGGCCATGCTTTCCAGCCAAAGAGTTTCACACATCATGTCTTAACCTAGAGTCGATTGGCTCAAGTATCCTCTAAAATAGAAGTCCATAAGCCTCATGAATGTATCAGCACTTTCAAGATCAATCCTCTGTCATTCCCGGTCCAACCGCGCGGTTATATCCCGTAAACAGTGGACATCAAGCCTTGTTTACATTCTCCTACTCTAACCCTCTCAAGTAGCTTCTTGGGCCAAGAGTCAAGACGAGGCTGATGATATTCAACATGTATAAGTGGCAGCGAAATTGCTTTCCATGGCCGAATTCATCAGTATTGAACTCGTCTAATCCTGCTCATGACATCTACTTCTTAGAGGTTGCTCTCGGATCTCACTCGCATCGCTGATGGATTCAATTTGGGAATATATGCAGATGAATAGGGTAACTTTGACGAGAGTAAAAACCATTGGGCTCTCGTTTTCGAGATGACTGATAAATATATCCGCCTGAGTATGGAGAGTCGCAAGAACAGCAGGACCGGCAAGCATGGGGTGCTCGTGTTGCATCGGCAGAGCTACAAAGGCGAGTCGAGAAGTATTGTTCACCGCCAAACTTATTCGTTCAAGAATCCCGATATCACTATCAAGAAGCTCTTGGAATTCACTCTCACCCGCGGATTGCACCGGTATAAGATGATCACCACCAAGGATGGAGCCAAGAAAGGATGTCGGTACCACTTGTAGGTGAAATATACCCATTGCGCTGCTCTTGAATGCTAATAATCATTAGGAAAACCATGTTGCTAGGCCTCGAGGCTGCTGGGTGGATTGGGAGCAAGTCAGACGCTGGTAAACGAATCAATGACTTTCTCCCTTATGTTTACACGAGGGATGACGAAACGGTTGAGATATATGTTACGACCAAGCCTATCGACGTCGGCCATTTCTGTGAGTAATTTATCACTCACAGTCCGCATGGTATTTTCCGGCAGCTACCATGGAAAGGAGGAATGGGGAGAGAAACCGGGTTCAGTGAAAGCTCAGGAGACTTGTCATTATGTGAGAGACCACGGGGTGACGGGAGTGATCTGCGATTAAGGCACAAGAACTCGTGATGCAACGGCAGTTCTGCTATTGCGACCTAGGCAGAGAGAAATGGGAAGACTTGAACGTGCATGTGATGTAGAAGGAACAAGGGTAGCTGGAAGGTGCCGGCTGTGTGCTGTTATTTAGAATGGTAGATAGATGATTGACTGTTTTAGCCATTATTGCCTAGCGAGTCTGCTTATAAAGTGTCTTATATTTTATGGCCTAAATTATTCCGGTAGTAATATAATTAAAGCCATTTACGTTCAGAAATATAACTTAGTTAGTATATTAATATATATCTTTATCTTAGAATATATATAAGTATATTTATTTATCTTGGAATATATATAAGTATATTTATTTATCTTAGAATATATATAAATATATTTATTTATCTTAGAATATATATAAGTATATTTATTTATTTTGGAATATATATAAATATATTATAGTATAATACGTAATTACTAGCTAGGTATTAAGTGAAGCGTAAATATATCTAGTAGTAGCAAAAATAGTAAGCCCGGCAAGAAATTCGCAAAAAATTAACACTCCCCTAACTAACCTCCCGGAAACAGAAACGGGAAAAGTAAAAAGTTGGGTCTGGCCGGGGATTGAACCCGGGACCTCTCGCAAGCAATGCATTAGGGTTTTCCCTAAGCGAGAATCATACCACTAGACCACCAGACCGCGTTAAGAACCAAGGAACTTGGATGAAAACAGGATGCCGAAAAGAAATTTATGAAGCGGTCGCATCTTCCGTTTCTCACGCCGCTAGCTTGGCGCGCTAGAACTGCGTTTCGTTTCGAAACGCCAGGCCAGCCGGTATTTGAACTCGCACATCAATTGGCACCCAGCTCATGGATGCCATTGCTGAGATGCCTAGCGGATAGCTGGTTAATCGTGCACACAGGCTAATGCTCTATTTCTGTTGCGTAAGTATAAATGCCGTGTGGACTTTCGAGAACGTTTATGAAGCGACCGATAACTACCAGCACTTGAAAGTGGCAGGGTCCAACTATTTATTATTCTCTAGCTCGGAGAAGAAAAGCTCAATCGCACTGCCAACTACGTTGTCATAGTCCTTTATTGTTGCAATTATCCCAGGTCTCGCTGCGCCATGACACCGCGAATAATATTCACTGTGATATCCCGCACAAGGTAAAAACTGGCTTCTCGCTGCTTAGCACGGCATGCTGATGTGTGACAAGGCTGATGGCAGCGCATATTCTGGGACTCTACTCATCCACGTTAGTTTGCATCCTTTAATTTCCTCAGTAGCGCAAAAGGGCGAATAATAAACTCTTCTGCTTGTCTCGTCATCACCGCCGGATATTATGTGAATATAAAAAGGCTTGCAGAGCTACACAGCTCGAAGGCCCTCGATTCAGATGCGGTTGAGTGCTCTTCATCTTAACCGCCAAAAGGTCCTGGGGTGAGCTATTTCAGAAAGATGAGACCCCAGAAGAGTAATCAGCTCCAATAATTTGTCTCGCTTTAATAACCCTTTACGTTGAGACGCGTTAGATGTAACGGCCCCACCAGACCAGACCCTTTCTGCGATACCCGACGGGTACCTTTTTTACATCTCAAGTGCTAGCACCTAGGTACCTACGTAGTCAGGTACCTGGGTAGGTAGGCCAGCCCTCACCACATTAGATATACGTGTAATAAGTGCAATATAGCTCTTTATAACTCAGGAAACTATTAGAGATTCTCTTATTATATCATTTCTTAGTGGAACAATATACCTTTTAATATTACATGTAGGCTTCCGATTAGCTAAAATCCCAACGCACCTTAACACTGTTCAAGGGATTATACATATGGTCCCCGGCGCGGACCCAGCCGTTGCGGACTTCCGAAGCCGCATGAGCGTGCCGGGGGCCTCCTTAAGTGGGCCCTGTATGAGTCGTCTCGAGAGCGTTGCGAGGATCGGAAAACCCATTCCATTGAGTCATAAACTGTTTGCTTCAGTAAAGTCGTAGGCTTATTCGTAAAATGAGCTTTAATAACCCTCCTGAATGTATAATACTGGGTACCTGCCTAAGGCACACATCCAAATTGCCTCCGCTTCTTCATATAAATAATCTCTGTTCCCAAACTCATTTTGCCCTGGGAATCAATATTTTTGGCTTGCACGCAAGGAGCAAAAATTCTCCCAGCTGTGCACATAAACAAACAGATCACCATCAAATGCTACAACAGGCACCATGGCAACAGCTGACAACCCAATCTCACACCACACGAGCCATACGATGGGAAATGGCGCCAGCAGCAGCAATAACGGCGCTCATGGGGACGGCGCGACCTCGTCGGCCAATGGTGAGATTTTACTTTTTTTTTTTTTTTTTTGAATAGGCCTTCCGCTGACTGTTGACGTGTAGGACACAATCAGGACAATATCTTGGATGCCCCCTTAACGACCCCCGTTGCCGACTTGTATAAGTGTAATATGGACGAAAGCGAAGCTGATCAGCGCCCTCTGACGGGCGTCTCGCATTTCTCTTCCGTTTCGTGTGATATCCCGGACTCCAAGGCTGGGACCATGATGAGCAATGCCACTCTCGTGGACTCCTCTGTCAACCTGGCCAGCTTTAGCATTATCGACAGTACTCTACGCGAGGGCGAGCAGTTTAGTACCGCCCACTTCAACACGGCACAGAAGATCAAAATCGCCCAGGGCCTGGATGCTTTTGGAGTGGACTATGTAAGACTCTCACTCAGCCAAACCATGAGGTCTGAAACGTACTGTGTATATCTAACGCCATGTATTAGATAGAGTTGACGTCGCCCGCTGCTTCTGAACAGTCGAGAGCTGATTGCGAGGCCATCTGCAAGCTGGGTCTACGGGCCAAGGTGAGCCAAGCCTAGACATAACTGTCATCTATGCCATGTCTGACAACAAGTCAGATAGTATGCCACATTCGATGCAACATGGACGACGCAAGACTCGCCATTCAGACAGGCGTGGATGGAATGTACGTCCTCTTCCCTCTAGAAACACGCACACCATGACTAATGGTCACGACACAGAAATATGTTCATCGGAACCTCGTCCCTGCTCATGAAGCATTCGCACGGAAAGGATATGACTTACATTGCCGCCAAGGCGCAGGAGATTATCGAATATGTCAAGTCGAACAAGGTCGAGATTCGCTTCTCCGGGGAGGACTCGTTCCGCTCAGACTTTTCCGACATCTTGAAGCTATATTCCCTCGTCGACCGGCTGGGCGTGGACCGCGTAGGCATCGCCGACACCGTGGGGGGTGCCACGCCCATGGAAGTGTACGACAAAATCGACGCCCTGCGAAAGGCTGTTGGCTGCGACATCGAGACGCACTTCCACAACGACACGGGATGTGCCATCGCAAACTCCTTGGTTGCTCTCGAGGCTGGCGCGACGCATATTGACACCACGGTGCTCGGTATCGGCGAACGAAACGGCATCACGCCTCTCGGCGGTCTTATGGCCTGTGTGGTTCCTACAGATCGCAACTTTGTCTTGAGCAAGTACAGGCTTGAGAAGCTGGACTACCTGGAAAAATTGGTTGCCCAGATTGTCGGGGTGGAAATCCCCTTCAACAATGTTACGTGGTCTCTGAAGAATAAGGACTGAACGAGACGGAGCGGCTGGGAGCGAGTAATCGAAAGCCAGTAACATGGTTTATTCGGATTATTTGCCGACAGAGCAGTCTTTGCGGTGCGACAGTTTAGCAAATAGTCATTACTGGAAAAATCATCCCTACATGACCCCCTTTGAGCCTGAATTATTTTGCGTGAATTGCCAACACGTATTGTGTACCTAAGGGGCTCACACGAACCTTGACGGATAAAGACTCATTCGTATGACTTGTCTTTGTAATTTATTGCTTACCACCCTCTGGGTCATCAGTTGCGCATACTCCTGTGCACTACCTATCCACTGCCCGCTTAGACACGTTCTGCCTCCGTGAATTTCTGAGGCTCAAATGGCAGGATACATGCAACCAAGGCAATAAGCCCGTATATTCCCACTAGAACCCAAATTGGAACCCCGGACGTCAAGTCCCCAAATGTTCCAATAAAGGGAGATGACAACGAGGCAACCCGCCCCAATCCCAGAGCCAAGCCAGCGCCGGTGCCTCGATTCGCAGTTGGCGTCACCTCCAAAGTATATCTATTTTGGCCATCTTTTAGCAATCCGGCAGCAGCTAAAGTCGAACAGAAAACATAGGCGATTGATTTACGCATAGAGGATGCCGCAAAAGGCGTTTTGCCAAAAACTAATCATGCTCGAGAAGGCGATATTGGCAGCCTCGGTGCGAACAGCGGTGAAGCCGCCACCAAACGCGGCCGCGCAAAGAGCCGTCAATGCCATGGAGCGGCGGCGACCAAGAAATGGAACATTGACACGATAGGTTGCGAAGATGGGGCCAAAGACGCCAACTGTTGCTCAGATGACGTAGTCGCGATAGGTCTGCGCGATGCTGCCGTTTCCAAAATTGGTGCCGTTGTGCTGGAGATATACTGGGAGGTAAAGCACGAAAACAGGATCGGCGTTGGCCCGGAACATCTCGAGTATCGTAGGAGGGCCCATCTCGCTGAAATCATTGGGTTGTTAGGGCTTCCGCCAAAGGATCTCCTTACACAGGGCCAGCTCAGCAATAAATTCTTTTCAGATGAAGGGAAGTAGTCCCCATGCGCATGTCTTAGGTGCGTCTGACAAGGTCAACCTGTTAGGCACATATAAAAGACATCGAGGAATTCAATTACAACCCCCAAAGCCGCTAGAGGAGCTGGAGGCACGTCTTTCTGGGGACGAGAAGAGACAATTCCTCGAGTTCATGCGGAAGATGCTCTAGTAGGCTCCGGAACAGCGGAGTAGCGCGGACGAGCTGTTGTGTGACGACTGGCTACAAGAGAACAATAAGTGACACAACGTTGCCGAAGCGTATACAGAAAGGCCACCTTTATTGACAGAGGACGTCATAGTATATATGCGTCTAGGTTATATAAATACTGATTTTTCTCTACTCTATATTAAGTATTCCCTTATATCCCCTTCAGCTAACTTATATTAACTACTATACAATTAAAAATAAAAACCTACGATTTTTTGGTTCTATTAAAAGAGCTAAACGCTTGTTTAAATTAGAAAAATAAATGTTCAACCCATTTAATTGATTAAAACGTTTCACGTACTCTCGTTCTATTCTATATCCCACGACAAATCATCAGACCACATCATCCAGCGCGCAGTCTGGCGAGGAGTTGATCTGCCTCACGCTGCGTAAAGACACCACCACTGCACAAATTATCCGCCAACACACGAACACTGTCCAGTATGAAGCGGTCCAGCATGCAGATGGCCGAGTACGCGCGCTCGAGGTCGCGGAACTGGCTGCTGCTGCTGCCGCCGCTGTTGCTGTTGTTGCCCGTAGACTGCGGTGCAGTGGCCTTGGCACCCCAGAGACCCGTCTGTGTCCATCGGGGGAGCTCGGTGGCTAGATATGTCAGATAGTCTGCGCGGATGACTTGTATCGATGCTCTTGGCGGCGGATAGGAATCCCAGGTAAAAGGGTCGAGGTGCGAGCTGACGTCGCGGCCCCCGGCGAGCGCCATGGAGACATCTGGTGACGACTGATACGAGGTCATCTCTGAAGTGGCAAGGACATGGCCTGTGGCGACGTAAGCTGAGCACGACATCAAGCACTTGTTCCCGTTGGGCCGCCATCATGACGTACTGTTCCAAGTTGTGTCGGAGCGCGAGCCGCAAGTTGAGCTCACGGCAGCGTCCATGACCAGTTGGTTGTTTGCAGGCGAGAGATGGTCAAGTAGAACCTGCCGTACGCGGCACTGCCCACCTTTGTGTTCAAAATCATGGTTCTGTCTGACGGGTCGCGCAAACTGGGGGACACGGCAGTTGAGAGCATGGACGCACTTGGCCAAACTACCATTGCAAAGTCGACAATGAACAATACCATGACACTATAAAGAAGACTACCTCATTCTCGTACGGCATGGTTCAGTTCAGTAAAAGCAACTCAAGTCATTCACAAATCTCGCACTAGCTACATCGACACTGCGCAATATTTCGCTCACTTCTCCGCCTGCAGCTTGTTCAATACGTCTTCCTGATCCTGAGTCTCAACATGGTTTCTCACGTAGTCGTCGTGCGTGAACTTGTGCGGGTGCGGCTTCTTCTTTTCCGCCATGATCTGCAGTCCCGAGACCATGGTGCCCGTACGTCCATGGCCGAAGCCGCACCAGACCAACGTGCCATCACGGTGCTTCTCCCATTCCGTGTTGCCCTTTTTGAGCTGTTCCGGCGTGGGCGCGTGACGGTCCTCCACCTTGAGCGGCGTGTGCGCAATGCCCGCGGTCCGCAGCGTGTTGGTGATGGTGATGGTGGCGTCGTCGGCAGGCCAGTTGAGACTGATGACATGTTTGATGTTCTGCTTGTGCAAAAAGGCAATGGATTCGGGGTCCAAGCGCTGGTCGCTATCACGCGATTTGTAGTGCGGAGCTGAGGAGCGGAAGAGGCGATCGGTAGGGAGCAGATGTAGCTTGACTTGCTCAAAGCGGTAGAATCCTGCTTCATCAGCCATACTGAGAGAAGTTTCCTTGTGTGTTTGATGTTGTGTGTGAAATGTGTTTGAGTACGAGTTCTCAGCATGGACAAGTGTCCAGGACTTATCCCCTCAGAGCAGTCAAGGCTCCAACAAGGTCACGGGCTCCACAATAACAAGGACCTCTGGTAACTTTAGTAGCAGCCTAAATCCTGTGAGTAAACATGTAGCTTTTTGTAGCTTTAAGATTATGGCTACTTAAATTATAGGGTAAATTGCTAGGAAATCTATACATCTGTAATATGTGCGTCTCTTATTGGCAAGGGCCTGGCCAGTGTCCGACAGCTTCTGGGCGCAAAGATTAAACATCTTTTTCTGTAACTTACCAGCACCAACCATAACAGTTTGTTTACTAAATGCCTGCTTTAGACAGAAAGTTCCGTTGTGCACTACTACCGGAGCGAATGTGCCGGATTCGCTGATATGGGAAGCGTACATGAAGCTCCTAGAAACCAAGGTCTCTTTTTGCCCAGCTATAAATCATGTGGAATGGTCGTTAACCTAGACTAGGACAAGCCAACACCTCCCCCAGGAAACGGCGCACAAGACCAGGAAAAGTACCTTGTGTACGTGAAAAGACTCTCGTTCGACATGGCAAGCCAGATCCTGGCACCTTGGATCAGTTTCTCAAAGACAAACTCGACATGAAACTGAATATACGTGCTCTCAAGTTGCAACAATGTTGTGACTCCAAAATGCGACCAACATGTGCGCAGAAAAAAGAATTGAATCTTACTCCCGACACTCTCAAGATGCTTTTGAGCTCCTACACTGATTCTAGATTCGTTGCTATGAGCACTAGTGTGCCGGGCAGGTACGTTTTCCACTGCGTACATGTTTCTCTTTTCGAATCCGTACTAAAAGTCTTGTCTTTTAGCTCCCCAGCCACAATGTCTGAGAAGGATTGGGCCGATGTCCTGCGGAACAATTCCCTTTTGTACGCCCATACTATGGCGGCGACGTACGTTGGTCCGAGGTCACCGTCTACAGACCGCTCCAAGCCAGGGGAGCCGGATCCCGCTCTTAAGGCTGGTGATGTGCTCAACTACGTTACAACTATCCGTCCGGCCCCGGTGCAAGGTAGGGCTATCCACTAATCCATACCATACCATGTATACATTGTTACACGGATGACACGTTGCCATGAAGGCACGGGCCGAACCTTGAACCCGACGATAGTTACACAAGGGCTCTGATCACGAGACCTAGTGCAAGGCTCCTCACCGCCTCTTGATATAAATAAAGGTCTTCCACCCCTAGGGCTTCAACGGAAAACTAAGGACCTTTGATATCAAAGCAAAGTATTAGCTGAATACGAATACTGTTCCAAGCCCCTAAATACTAGGCCTTGTCACACTACCGGAGGTGACACGCTTTTAGCGAATAAGTATTGCTCCCCCGTTTGTTGATGATGCCCCTGGTGTCTTGGTCTAATCGCTCGATTGAATAGCCCCCCTGCCTGGTGCAGCACAGTGGGAAGCCACTTGAATTGGCGAATAATTCATGTAAGTTGTCGTCTCCAGGCGCCTCGAAAGTCGACTATTTGGCTAAATGGGTCATGTACAGCGAAGCGAGTTCCGATCTCTATTTGACATTATCAGGGCCACCGGACTATACAGGGAATTGATGCAGGCCATTGACAAACTCGCGCCTCATATGGAGAGCCCGGAAGTTAAATAATAGTTTTAAATATAAAGGTTTCCTTATTTTTCTGTTATTCCAGTGTTTAATTATTAAGAATATTGGAACTCTCCGGATAAATCTCTTGTTTCGAGCAAACTGGCAGTTCCTTGATGCGCATGCCTGCGGGCCGCGCAGGAGGATTCAAGACGTTAATCAAAAACAAAAATGTGGACTCTCTGGTTAGTAGCCATCATATTTAAGCCATACATAGTGGATAAACTGTGCCAAACCATGCACGTTAATATATCCCAACTTACAGGATACTGTCAGGAGGGTTTTTATAATAGCAGAGTGCCTAGAGAAATATTACTTTTAGCTTTATAGCGATTTAATAGCTAGCTAGGTATAAAATAATAACTTTATTTATTTTTAAACTTTTAAGTTTTTATAAGCTTAAAAATCCTTTTTTTATAACTAATAATAATTTTACCTTTAAAATCTAATTAAAACTTAAAGTTAATTTTTATAAAACTTTTTAATAATTAATATTTAGCTTATATAT